TGATTCCCCTTCTTTTGTGCCACTTTCTTCATTAGTTCTACTCTTCATTATATTTTTTTTCTGCTGAACAAAAGTCTAGCTTAGCCTGGCAAGACAACTCCACCTTTGATCATATCATCACGGCACTAAACAGCCTGACACTAATGAAAGTTTTGCAGTTTCAGTATAGCTGAAAATACAAGGTTTTGCCTGTAACTTCTTAGTAATTAACTTTTTTACATAAGGTAAGAACGGGAGATAAAAGATGCATTCCTGGTTTTTCTGCTATGCCTTCTTTAGTCCTCAAGTAAGCAGGACCTAATTATAGCTGTTAAAATAATGCCACGGTTTCTTAGCTAACATCTGTTCCCCCACTCTAAAAAGGCCAATTAATACGCCTAAGGGAAAGGTTTTCTTCACCCCATCCACCAACAAGAAGTTCTGTACAGTCACAGGGAAATGTAAAACAAATTATTCAAAAGAAAACATTGCATAATTAAAATCTCATGTATGTAAACCATTTTCAACTCTTTTCTGTGCTCAATGGAATGTTAGAGATTTTTACAAAGTAACCGTTAACGTGATCAGAGTAGATGTCATCTTGAAGATTGTAGGTCACAGCATATAAAAACTGACTTGCAAACTTCAGAGTATAGAAACTTAGGCTGATTCCCAGCAATTACTGGCATCTTAAGACAAGCAGATCCTTCCAGTATTAAGTGAACAGAAAAATATCTATTAAAGTTCTCCTACAATTATTTTCAGACTTATGTTTTTTAATACTATACTTGACACAAGTAAGCTGCAAACTTAAAAAGGCATCAGACATTTCTTTCCAACCTTGGCACTTTTCCAGCTGAAAAAGACAACTGCAGAATCAAACATCAAACCTCAATCTCTAGCACTTTATTCATAAGTATTTATTCATGTTCTCACTTTACAGCCCTCTCAGGCCGTGTTAATTTGAAATAAAAAATGGCCCAGCCATAGACCTGAATACTAGCCCAAGACAGTCCACATCTCTCAACTATTAGCTCATTCCCTGGCTCTGTTCTGAGCTGCTTGAACTCAATCCTGCCAAAACAAACCTGCTCCTAGACGTGTTAGACCTAAGAATTATATTTGGGGCCAGTCAGTGTGGTGGGGTCAGGGGTTAGTCCCTGGCCCTTCTTCATTTTGCAGTACAGATGAAGGCTGAAGGCAATGGACCTAACTCTGATGTCATCAGAAGTAAGGTGAAAAGCATGTGTGATATGGCCTGATCTTGCATATGATAATAAATCTTGCTTTTCTGAGTTGATTTTATGAGATGTAGTTAAAAATTAGCAAAATGAGATAAACTTCTTTTGTATTCACCTGTGAGGTAGCTCCAGTACATTGATGTGGATCGAGCTGTACATGTTTTCCATAATCTCCTTTTTTAACCACTAGCAAAATATCCCACACTTCATCTCTAAACTGCCCACATGAATTTTTGACAGATACACTGTCATTCTACTGCTCTCTTCAGTGGAACATGTTGTTTATTTTAATGAGTTTGGAAAATAGTCCCAAAACAGCACACTTTGGTGGAAAAATGCATGACTTTGTTTAGAAAATCGTGCTTAAACCCGAAGATTTTCACTCCTCTCCCTACACAGGACCAAAATTAAAAGAGCTAATAGCAAATGTGCCAGATCAGTGTATTGCTCATTCACATACAAAAATCTGTAACAGGCAACTGCTAAATTCACAATTCAATTAAGATTCTTCAGAGTACCTACATATGACAAGTGTCTTCTAAAAACAGGATAAAACTTATTGAAATGACTTCTCTATCTTTACAAGCCTTCCTTCAACTGTTATTATGCACCCGACCAAGTCAAAATATTATCCTACAGCAGAAAATCTTCCACAGTGCAATTCATCTCAAGAAAGTCATCACAGGTGGTTGAGCAAGGAAGTCAGACTGCTGTAGGAACAAGAATTACAGTGCTGCAAACCTCCAGAAGCATCCTAAAGCCTTTAGACTCGGCAGGCTTAGCTCCCAGGCTGCTCTACAGAGTCAATGGCAAGATTGTTTCCTTCCATACTAGGCATGATATTCACCGAATTTGAGGCCTCGAGGCTGACTGTTTCTAAATCATCTCTTTTCGTTTTGAGACAAATGATATCCATCAGCTTCTGTGTTTGCATCCTGAGGGATATCCTGCTACAGAATTCTGGTATCTGCTGTTCTTTGGGAAATTTTAGGAGATTACATGAAAGAATATACAATTTCTCAAGGGTAGGAACTGCCTTCCTGTCTCAATTCTGTGTACTGTGTTTAGATCAATAAAGCCAAACTTCCCCAGTACAACTCAAGTAATCCCACTAGCTATGGAGAATATTCTAAAATACTACAGCATATTTTAAATTTTTTTGCAAAAATGGTGTTTATTCTTCTAGACAGGAAGTCCTCAATCACATTAAGATGGATAACAATTTATAACACGATAAAAGAAATGCAACAGATCTCACTCTCTTGAAATGGGTCTGTGCTTTCAGAAGTTTAGAATATGCAGAACTAAGAGATTTTTCTTTTTTAATAATAAGCATTACAATTAAAAAACATCTTGTACTTCCTACCGCTTCCTGGTGTTCCAGGCATTCTTACTGGGCTTCCACCAAAATGCAATGTCTGCATTTTTTTAAAGCTACACAAATTTGGCATATACTCGCCTATACAAAAATTTATCTGAAAAGTGGACAATGAGACGCATAAAATGCTTGTGTCACCTGTAATATATCAGCTGTATGTATTATTGACCAGGTATTATTGTTCTTTCTCTGTCCTTACAAAATTCTGTCTCTGGAAGAAAAAAAACTACATAAAACTCATATCTCAAGCCTATAAATTTTAGACTTTTCCTTCAAAAAAGCGAATAATCCTCTTCTTAAACTAAGTACATGAGTAAAGTCTCTGGCAGACTAAGGACTTGTATAACCAACAACTTGCAGCCCTTTGCTCCCATCTATTCCCATCCCCAGAAAAAAGCTGTGCTCACACAATATGCTCTTCCTGCAAAAGACACCCATAGGCTTTAGTAAGGATTTGCCTGAGAATGTTTTAAAATGCTTCCCCCTCTACACTGCTTTTGAAGACAGTCACAGTACATGAAGTCTCTCTGCATGCATCTCTTGTTGGAGGATCCTAGGATCAGCAATGCAGACGGGCTACAGCAGTAAAATTAAACGGCAAACTGTTTGATGATTTTCAGAACTTGCTGGTTCCCTGATTTTGTTCAGCTTTAGGGGGAGGGAAAACCACATCATCTGACACTGGAATAAACAGGGAACAGCATCTTTTGCTCTTGCAGGCAGGTTCTTCCCACAGATGAGAGTTCAGGACACCATGTGTCATAACACAAAGTATGCTCCTAACTCTTTGGATCATTTTTAAACCGTGCAGTTTCATGAGAAATTCTAATCTTCGTGTTATGCACAAAGAATTCTATACAATAGCCAAGATTATAGTAGACATCAGCAAATAAAAGTGTTGGGTTATTTCTTCTAACAGCCTGTTTTATAACAGCAGCACGATAATTTAAAATTTAAGAGGAAACGTACCAAAATATTTGAAACTTTTTAAACAACCTTTTTCAGTTTAAAAATCAAAAATTATAAGTCACCTGAAAATCACTGACCTTTTCTAATTTTTCAAAGTGTTCTCTGAGGAACTTCATGGGTCGGTCTGGCTTTGCTATGCAAAGGTTGACAATGCACTCTTTTAAAATCTGTTGGATGTTGTGCTTCTGAACATAGAGTTCACATCCCTTCAGGCTCTCATCTTCTTCCACATTGCAGGAAGAAGCAGCAGCCATCTTCAGGCTTGTAAACAGAAAAGAGACCTAGGTAAGAAAATGGTGCAAGAAAGAGATAAGAGACAGTTCCCAAACCCTTTGTCAGAGAGATCTGGAGGAGCAAAGACATTTTAATATGGCCTGTTGCCTATTCAAGAGCTATCAGTTCTGAATGTTTTAATGTTCTGGGGTTGTACGTGGAAATGCTGAATCGTGTCATCTTTGTACGATCAACATAACAGTAAGTACAAAAAGAGCATTTTAACTCCTAGATGGCAGTCAGCCTTTGGAAATAATGGTGCAATTAATCATACAAGGCCGTGAGTTTCAAAGACAGCTATTAAATGACGGAGTAAAGCCTTGCTTTTCTATTCCCTTGGGGACTCCCTCCCCGTCACCAGAAACCCAGTTTTCCACAACAGAAGGATTTTTGGTAATTTTAACATCTCCCCTTTTACACTGAGCAACCCTTCTCGGTCCCGGGGAGATGGGGAGGAGGGGGCAGAGCTGCCCAAAGGGAAGTTTGGTAACTGGGGGGAAAACAACCCCAAGCCCCTCTTTATTTCCCCCAGAGAGCATATGACCGCTCCATTACAAACCAAAGACCGCCGGGGCAGCTTTCACACCGGCCTCCCCGCCGCCCCTGCCCGGGACGCTGGAACGCCGGGGCCGGCAGAGGCCGAGCGGGGAGCGGGCACGGCGGCCAGGCCGCCCCCGAGCCCGGGACAGGCCCCGGCAG